ACCTATACATATAATAAGTATAATAGAGCTGTTATGCAGTTGTTTACCTCAAAGGAAACCACCTATAACAAACTTTTCTATGCAACAAATGGCAACAACGGACAACGATACATTCAAAATCTACTGACGACGGCACAAAGGAGTCACGATTCAAAATAATGTGTAGTTCCAACATAAATATTGGAATGGGGAAAAGCCTTACCATAATAAGGTTCGTTCGACAAAGACAAACCAATCCAATCAGAGAAAACGAGCTTGTTTCGCGTAGAGAAAGTTCTGTCTCACATACCCGTACGATGCTATTCGCAACGCGTAATAGCACAAACTTATATCGTACTCAATAAAAACGTCTCAGTATTTTTATTAGCTTCCAAGTAATCACAGAGTTGTCGCTTGTGCCAAATATAGTCAAATATATATTGGAGTATAATTATTTTGGCTATTCCGTCTGCTATTATTATTATTTATATAATATTATTTGGACAGTACGTGTTTTGTTTGTAAGTACGGAAATTAGGTACATACTTATTAAATTGGTTTTAAAGGCATATTACATATTATACATGAAGAATCGGCGATATCAAGAATTAGCTTTTTATAAACTAGAACCGTTTCTGTTACATTTCTAAGAGGCAGTTTTATTAATATTATTTATATGTAATACCAATGATCCGAAAAAGGTGTTTCAAATGAGTTGACAAATGTCTACATATAGATACAAGAATTAATATAGAATGGTTAAAACCACCAAATATTAATTAATTACTTTTTTAATACAGTTGCTCAAAATGTGGTATTTTTCGTATTACAAATCGTGCCGAAAGTTGTATTTTTTGCACTGGTGCTTTTAACTTTCCCAATTTTTATTTATTTACTGTTGTTTCAAGTCATAAACATAGAATTAAAGAGGTTGTATATTTATTTAATATTTATGTGCTTTGTGACGCAAGTTATTCGTCATTAAAACTTATATTTACTTACAAACATCTTATTTGATTAAATTGCATGTGTTTTATAAAACAACGGGTTACATTTAAAAATATCAAAATATTTTCCAAAAAGATAGCTGATTGAATATTAATTGAGTATTGACCGGAGGTGAGTATTACGCGAGACCGCTGCGCGCCGCGCCACTAAAATAGTAATTTTAATGTGGCCTAATACTGGCAACAGTTGCCTTTGTACCCTGAAATATTATCAGACAAAGAAATAAAATGAGTTTTTTTTAAATACTGTTTTATATTACTTTGAATGTAGTTTTTTCGCAAATGTATTAAAAAACGTCGTTTGAAACACGTGCGGATTTGTCATTTTCACTTGGTTCGAGTCTTGAAGACTCGTGAATAGTGACTAACTTTCCGCACTTGCACCAAAAATAAGTATTTCGATTCCGGATTTCAGGATTGCATCGTAAGATAAAACTACTAGGAAGCTGAAGTTGGATTTTAAAGTAATTCTAGGGGCGCCATGTAAAAAAGTGTAGTAGATAATTAACCTTTCACCAAAGTAAAATAATTTTTTTTAGCTACTAGGAAAAGCTTATTTTAACTAATGCGGATATCATTCATAGTATTATTATTTAAATGTAGTTATCTACAAATTTCATTGAATTAGATTATGAATTTCAAAAAGTCATTAATTAATATTTTGGTGGTTTCATTCACTCGACGTGGATATATATATATATTGACCTTTGGTAATCAATCACCCACACTTTAATTTCACCCTACCTTCGGACTATCCACTTTTAACCTTAGCTCTTAAATAAAATGTTGATGGCGTATGAAAATTCAATGAGAAAATTCTATGCCGACTCAATTATCGCCATTCCAAAAGTTTGTTACGACTCAATTAAATAAAAGTTAAAGGACGCAGCGGCGGTGACGGGCAGTTATACTTCGGAAGCTAGTACGCGAATGTCATAAATAATATAATAAATCTGTAATAAAAAGCGTTTCTTGCCAATGATAAGGATAATAAAATTTTGATAAGCTGACTAATCGATTTAAGTAATCGTAAAAGCATTTGACAGGGAACACGAGTCGATGGCGAAGTTTTTGCTACGTTGGAGACAAGGCTCGTAAATCAGACGATATCGCGGAACCCGACGGAAGGAACTGTCCGCCTAAACGTTGGCAAAAATAGTGCCGTCTCTTGGACTTCACCGTTCCTGCGAATATTCGTACTGCGAATTGCTTTATTTTTCCAAGTAAAACGCTTTACCTATTTTACACAAAAGATCGTCTTGATTTTGACTTCAAAGACATCAAAGAACATAATCCATAATAGGAATAAAAACCCCTGGAAAATGATGTAAAAAGAACTTGGAAATGTGATATTTGCCAAAAATTTGTATAAGTGTATAATATGACCAAATGTATATTGTGTAGAATTGAGTAGGTAAATTGGCTTGTTTACAAAAAAGAACAACCACTTTAGTGGATCACTGAAAACTTGCAACTCCGGCCAAATGACCGTTTCGTTGGTTGCAGTGATCTGGCACCACTTCACAGACCTGTTGCCTCCAAGACTTAAAGTCGAAAAATATTAAAGCTTAAAAGGTACATTTATTTAATTATAATTAATTATGTTGAGGAAATATAGTTAATATGAGAAACTTAACAACTATGGCACATGCCTCAACAGCAAATTATGAAACTATACAAGAAAGTGATGATACTATCATACAAATATAATTATAATATACGTTCTTCCTAAGGCCCCATGTACTTCCAAATGTACCTACATAATTTGTGAAGTTATCCAGACCCAGACAATATTATTCCCATGATCACGTAAACGCCCAGTGTACTTTATAATGAAAATATCGCATTAAAATTTAATGTTATATATTCCATAACCATGCAATAAAATCGGTCATACGACAGATCTTAATGCATGGTTGCTAACTTGGATACTAACTCTGAGAGAAGAGAACAAGCTTCTTGTCGCCGAAAGGAAAATCTTCCTAAGATTCTGGGACCGACGTAGAGGGAAGATGGTAGGTGGAGGATTCGAAAAAACCTGGAGCTGGAGGACATCGTGTCTGCGTGTGCAAGACTCCGTTGGCTTGGACACTTCGAAAGAATGCCACCTTATAGGGCGGTGAAAAGAGCCTACATGAGTCGTCCTAGTGGTCGACGACCGTTTGGTCGATCCAAATACCGATGGAGGGACGAAGTGACAAAGACAGGGCGTACAACTCGTATCTGAAGCCAAGATCCACTTCGGGTCGCTGAGTCAACAAGTAAGTAAGTATTCTACATGACCATAGGATATCTAGAAAAATAAGTTTTTGGTACAAGTCTGAGAGCATACTTGCTTGGGTCTTGAGAATCTAATTATATTTAGTACGTTTTAGTGTATATTGGGCGATTAGCACTTTTCCTATTGTAGTTTACTGGGTCTTTAGAGAATATTATTTATTTATATATAATAAGTACTAACGGACTATTAAAAAAAGTAAATTCTAGCACAACTAATGGCAACCTGTTGCACCAGATCGGTCTTTCATAACCGTAACTCACTGGCCGATAATAAAATGTAATAAACTCAGACTGTGTAGTGTAACAAACCTCGTACCTATTTTTCAGTGATTTTAAGAGACTGATATCCTGCAGTGGGATGTGTAGAGGGATACAAACTGCTAGCCGTCATGCAGACGTCAACTACATCACATTGTCAATATCAGTTAGGTTTTAAAAAGACATTCATTAAGCCCAGCAGTGGACGTTTAAATGGGTTAATGATGATGATGATGATGAATTATTAAAATCAACAGAAAACTGTACATCGTGATTTCGAGTTCTTAGGTTTTCGCGATTGTTACACATAGCAAATGAAACTACTTTTCCAGGCTTAAATCGTGTATATTTGTTTGTACTTCGTGATGTTTTAATACCATGATATTCATATAGTTTTTGTGAAAACTGTCCACTAGTTTATTACGATCGCAAAGTTGTAAGTACGTGTTGATACAAGGATCGAAAAAAAAACCTTCGATCTGACTGGACCCGAACCAGCGCCGGTTGCCACGCCAGAGCAACCGCTCTTAACCAACTGAACTACGGATCGAGTCGGCAGATTGTACGAATTTCTCTGTGTTTATATAGATCTTTGTATTGGTTTTTTTTTGTATTGATAATAATGGACTACTTATATGTGTAAGTATTTTTTACTTTTTTTCTAAAGTTCACCTAATTCTCAGTAAAATTTGGACATTTTTGGCGAACGGGCTTGTCGCTTTTATTAACTCCCTAAGCGCGTTTGCACACTGCAATCCGATGTCCGATCCGTATTCGTTCCAAATCCGAAAATATACAAAAAAGAAACCCGGCCCGACTGCGAATGGCGCTTATGCACAAAGACCCAGCAAACCACAATGGAAAAAGCGCTAAACGTCTTGTATGAAAAACGTATTTTTCTAGATGGATTTGGTCATACAGAATATATAGCGTTAAATTTGAATAGCTATATTTTCATTATAATGTACACAGGTCGTTTACGTGATCATAGGAATAATATTATCAGGGTTTGAATCACGTCATACAAATTATGTACATTTTAATGTACTCGGGGCCTTAAGAGGTCAAAATAAAAGGAAAACAAGTATACGTTTGCAAAGGGTACAAACATAGATTTGTTAGACTGTTACAAATCATCATCATCAACCCATTTATACGTCCCACTTCTGGGAACTGGTCTCCCTCAGGCGAGGATTTCACTATAGTCCGCCACCCTGGCTCAATGCGGAACTATCACACGTTTTCCAGGGTTGTGAATCTTCTTCGACGTGCAGGTTTCATCACGATGTTTCCTTCACCGAAAAGCTATTGGTAAATTTCAAATTAAATTTCGCATATAAATTTCGAAAAATTCAAACCCAGACTCGATTCCACGGCCTCTGCTTGAGAGGCGGTATGTCAAACCATTAGGCTAACACGGTTATTACAAATAGTTCAATCAATTATAATAACGGAATATGATAATGGATGTCTCACCTTTAGCGCGTCCTCGTGGGAGATGCCAGCAAAAGGCGTCCCGTTCACCTGCATGATGGAGTCGCCCGGGCGCAATCCCGCGCGCTCCGCCACCGACCCTTCCTCCACCCGCGATATGTACACACCTACACCTGGGCAAAACCAGGACATTCTAAAGTTATCCATAATATGATAATTAACTTTGGTTAGTAAGAATAAGGCGTTTTGACAACATTCAAAACAGTGGTGCTGACTCTTGCTGACTCCATGATATAAAATGACAAATCAAAATGACAGTCCCTTTTAAAGTATTTTTTGCTTGGTTTCCATAGTCTAAGGTTTTATGGTTTACAAACTGCCAGATCAGACGATTAATCTAGTCTAAAATGATAATCGCCTGCAACCATTTGTGATACTCGGAAGTTTTAATAATTGTCTTGAAAAATTGTCATGAAATTGGGTCCAATATTACGAATTTTGCCGCCCATGTCATTTTCAAACTGTAGGTATAATTTAACAGGGAACTAATAAACATAATACAAATCATTTCCTAAATCGTGTTTACAAATTGTGATTGAATTTGATTAGTTACTTTCCAAAATAGGATTGACCTTCTTTTGTACAAAGTGAACTCGTTCTTCTTCTTCTTCTTTTAAATGTTATGGCCCCATCGAAATAATCAATGATTTTGCCAATGTCAAGTAAAAATAACTATGTACGGTAGTTTAATATTATTATAAAAATTATACAAAAAAATGGTGATTGGCCAATGTCCTGTAGTTGCACTTTATTTCATGTTTCAAATCGTTAAGTTCGTCTTAAGTTTCCTGTGTCTGTGAACAAAACACTGACGCTTTGTGATGGAAATAAGTGTGGGTGGCATATATGTGGTGTGTTTCTACACAGGCAGAAATAATGAGCAAGATATAAGAACTTATATCTGTCAAATGTTAAAATAGGTTAAAGAATTTACGGAGTAAATTTCTAACCACAGTTCAGATCATAGATATAGGAAAAAAGGGACGATTTGGTATGAGGGTGTGGTTCGTGTCACCTCGATACATAGGGCGTACTATAAGTTTCCGGAACTGGCCAATTACATAAACAATATTTAAAAAGTAATTACAACATTTGAAAATGGAACTTTTTGGCTGTAGAATATAGTATTTTTCATCTAACTGTCACTTGTTTTACATTGTGGCGTCATTTTAGAAATTGGTTATCTACATCACCATGGATAACTTGGGAAAATTTTCGTGGTATGATTTTCTACGACTTTAAGTGTAATTCAACAGCTCAGCGGAGCTTCGCTCGGCTTCAAACTGCTTTTAGCGATCAAGAATCATGCAAGACGACTATTTATAGCTGGTTTGCAGAATTCAAACGCAGTCGTGTGAATCTCAGTGAGGAATTTCGTGATGGTCGCCCGTCCACTGCCGTGAACAATAAAAACATCGATGCTGTGCGCCGTATGATCAAAACAGACAGGCATGTAATATACCATGCGATTCGGGCATCTATAGGCATAGGCATGAGTCAATTACAATCAATACTACACAAACATTTGGGTGTGAAAAAGCTGTGCTCTCGATGGTTCCCACACAATTTGACTGAGGCTCAAAAAACGGATTGCGTCACTTGGTGCAATGCCATGCTTACCAGATTGAACGAAGGGGCGTCAAATTTGGTGTAGGACATAGTAACAGGTGACGAAATATGTTAATATAGTTACGATTCCAAAACAAAGCAGCAATCAAGCGAGATGAGCCGAAACCAACCAAAGTGACACGCATGCAAAGTGCCTCTAAGCGGATGATTGCTTCTTGTTTTAAAAAAACTGGACACGTGGCTACTGTTGCTTTGAAGAATCATCATTGTACCGTGACAACAGACAAATGAATTTTTGAAGGTTGACAAAGTTGACCTTATGAGCCATCCCGCGTACCTTGTGACTTTTATTTATTTCCAAAAATTAAGAACCAGTTACGCGGTCAACGATTTTCATCATCTGAAGAGGCTGTCGAAGACAGCCGTGACAGACAGACAGTCGACACGCCGCGACAGACAGTCGTGAGTATTGAAATAAAACCGCTATCTAGCAGCACCGGCGGGCGCGGATGGAAACCGCTCCGTTAATTTAACCTTATTAACCTTAAACTGACGCTACTCAACGAGTGATGTGGAGGACCACCGACCGGACCGAGGTAGGAACCTAATCGACAATTACGACATGTGGCTGTTTTGAATATTAAAAAAATATTCAATTTTTCATACTATACCTGGTACAGGTGTATTATTATATTAAAATAAATTATTATTATTTTCTTAATGGCGGCCACTAGACTTGGGCGAGTGTCAGTTTTATAATCATAATATAAAAAATATGGCGATCGTCGCCAGTGTCAGTTTTCCATTATACGTTACCACGAGTTGGTGAAACTGTCACTGTCAAGACTAAATCGAACCATCAACGAATTTAATAAATTAAATTGTTGTTTTTTTATGAAGGATTTATGTGATTTTCTATAATTGTTTCTAATTTATTTATTAATTTATTTTATTTTATTTAGTTTTTAAATGCATTTGCAATGGAAATTTAAACAAAGTAAGAAATAGTAATAAGAAAACATTGACTTACAATCAATGTAAGAAAACCAATCTTTCGATTTTCCTGCAGCTTCAATCCAACCTTCTTTTATTTTGAACTCATTGGAAAAACTTAAAAATACTCTATGTTTAATCTACGAGTATAATGGAATTTAAATATCTAAGTTATCTAAAACAATAACACGTAAGTCAATGACACACATACATTTTTCTTCAAGCAACAGCAACATACAAATTGACATGAAATTGAAACGGTTGTCCAAAATTGTAGTTGTGTTAAAGTTACTCGAAATAAAAGGTTTAGTAATAATAATAGTAATAATATAAAAGAAATCAATTTGACGTGAATGCTTTTCGCTTCGATATTTTAGGGACTTTAATTACAAAGACCACAGTAAGCAATTCAAACATTTCAGTAAAAATTTATTGTCGATAAACATTAGTCCTCGTAAATCAAACATCACTATATTTGAGTCTAGAAATTTCTATGGAGACAAATAGAAAATATTGAATAATCGAGTTCTTAGGTTTTCGCGATTGTTACACATAGGAAATGAAACTATTTTTCCGGATTTAAATCGCGTATATTTGTTTTTTTCAAACAAACCGACGTTTCGGACCCTTTACAGGTCCCATGGTCACGGTTGACTGAGGTGGTACAGTCTTCAACCAGTTGAAAAATAGTTTCATTTCCTATATTGAATAATAATAGAAATAGTAACTAAAAATGCAAATAACCGGTGGAATGTTATCTCACTAGTTTTAACATTTTTGTTTTCACTCCAATTTTTACAAGGTGTATTGCTACAACTTGGCATTTTCACGTTTTACGAGAGATCTAGTATGTACAACGATCGCGATGTCGCTGTGGCGATGTTTGTAGGCGTGTCACCTTGATAAGATCATTTTGATCAAATCGAGGCGACACGAACCACGGGGCCATACCAAATCTCCCCTTTTGCTTGGCATCCTGAACAAGGTGCACCGATTTTTTTTTTACTCCAGAGCTGCGATACCTGTTGTATAAAGCTCAGGTCCGAAGCAGCATGGAGTACTGTTCGCACCTTTGGGACGGCTCTGCCAAGTACTTGCTCGATGCCCTAGATGGACTGCAGCGCTACGCCTTCCGTGTTGTCAACGATCCTCATGTAACTGAGCATGCGGAGTCGTTACAGCTTCGCAGAGATATAGCGTCTCTTAGCGTATTCTATCGCCTGTACCACGGCGAGTGCTCTGAAGAGTTATTCAACCTTATCCCTTCCTCTCCTTTCCATCAGCGGACCACCCGTGCCGGACTGCGTTGCCACAGATGGACGGTCAGTTCAATACCGTCCCGCACTAAAAAGTTTGGCAATCCGTTTTTATGCCGAACCATCAAATTGTGGAACCAACTCCCGGCGCATGTATTCCCTCCCCTCTATAACATCGGGTCCTTCAAACGTAGTGTGAAGAAGCATTTGGCCAGACCGGCAAAATGATAGTGACGGAGTGAAGATATTTGTGTTTTCCATCCGTTACTCTCATCTCTGGACTGTATTCGCACTTTCCATCAGGCGCGGTGCAGTCATTTTGCCGAGTCACAATAAAAAAAAAAAAAAAAAAAAAATGATCATTTTGATCAAATCGAGGCGACACGAACCACGGGGCCATACCAAATCTTCCCTTTTTTTCTATATCTATGGGTAAGACCACAGCCCTCGTTGAGTAGCGTCAGTTTAAGATTAATAAGGTAAACAATTTACGGAGCGGTTTCCATCCGCGCCCGCCGGTGCTGCGGGACAGCGGTTTTATTTCAATAGTCCCGACCCTGCAAGTTTATGCGGACACGTAGTCGCCGCGGTTGCGGGCACGAAGTCGCTGCGATTGCGGAACGGACCGCGAACTTAGTGGGAGATAAATGCAAGTCGCGCGGTTAATAGAGAACTTAACCCTCGTGCGCCACAACTGAGCCGACCGCCAAAGTGCGCGGGCGACGACAGCCGCTAACCCCGCAGGTGATCGCGCCCTGCGCGGTTCCACTCGTTACCACTACAGGCGTAAAACGCGCCGTGAATTTTGCTACTAATTTTACATACTTAACTATTACATTCCACGGATTCCGGTCCCACGGCAGACGCAGGTGAAAACCGCTCCGTGAGTTCTTAGTGAACGATAAATGAGTTTCAGCGCCATCTAACGTGCAATAGTTAGCATTATATACTAGTAGCATTTTTACTAAAACGCCACCTGATGGTGAAACGCTGAACCAGGATGAAAAAAACACTGAAATATTGTAATATAACTCTTACTCAAGTGAAAGTAAGTTTAATTTTGTTAAAATTTAAAATTGTGTTACATCGTTTTCATGTTTTAAGCCCTAACCAATAAACATCGTTAAGTTATGGTAGTGGATAGGTAATAAAGCGTAAAGTTTTAATTGCACACAAGCCAAAAAGTGGCGACATCGGTACCCGATCTTAGCGTCATACAAATATACACATGAATACGCATTAGGTAAATCTCTCTCTCATCTTAGCGTTGTCCCGGTTGCGTCCTCAGCAGGGTTGCTGCGGAGCCCGGGGTCCGCTTTCCTACTTTTTCTCCTCCACTTTGCACGGTCTTCGGCATCCTTAGTGGTGAGACCATTGGCACGCATATCACCCTTGGCGACGTCAAGCCAGCACTTCTTGGGTCTGCCCCTTCTACCGGGGCCCGTACATTTGTTTCCCACGTAGCATGCCGGTTTCCGTAAGATGTGGCCGTACCAACGTAGGCGGCTTTCTTGCAGTTTATCTGCAATGTCACGGACATGAAGGCTGCCGCGGATGCGGGAGTTTCTGACACGGTCTTTCCGTGAAACTCCACACATCCAGCGCAGCATCTTCATTTCCGTGACACGCAGCTCCTGCTTATGACGCTCAAGTACGGGCCACGTTTCACTGCCATATAAAAGGACAGGCCTAATGATGGATTTATAGACCTGTCCTTTCAGCTTAACCGGCATCTTGGGGTCACAAATTACACCAGTCACCTCACGCCACTTTGCCCAAGCGGCTGCGATTCGGGCTCTGACGTCGCAGTCGATGTCTCCGGACGCGCTAAGTACAGATCCCAAGTATTTAAACTGGCCCGTAGGCTCGACCGCGTCTTCGCCTATGCGTACGGGTAGGGGATCTGTAGCGTTGCAGACCATGTACTCAGTCTTCGCCACATTTAGTCGAATACGCATTAGGTAAATAACTAGCCTTTTTTTGGTTTTTAAAAAAAAGAACAAACATTTATTTTTATGAAAAGCAAAAACCATTTTTTCATATATTTATATAATTCAGCCAGTTTTGTATATATTTTGTAGTCGTGTTCTTTGATTGTATTTTGACATTAATTGTTGTGGTTACAAGACAATGTAATCGTATTATGCTCACTGTTACAATAAAATTATGAATTTGTTCACGGTCTCCTTATTTTGAACCGGCCATGAACATCGTGCTATACCACCACGGCGGAAATTAAGGCTGGACTTAACTGAACATGTTTCCCGCTCACATTCATTCTTAACTAGCTGGTACCCGCGACTTCGTCAACGTAAAACAAGTACTTCAAGTAGCCTCCTGTACTTTACCTCCTTTTATCCCCTTTTTCAGCCCCTTTAGAGATTTTTTTTATAGCAAAAATGCCTATGTCCTTCTTCATTAATATTCGATTTTGTTCAAGCTCCCATCTATGAGTATGTCTATACCAAAATTCATCAAAATTGTTTCATGGGAATGGGAAACAGACAGAGTAACTTTCGCATTTATAAAATTGGTTTGGATGAAGAGCTTGTGTCAATAAAACTGCATATAGCAATAACTTGGCAGCAGATTTACTAAATTTAATTTAATACATCTCAAAATATTTTGACTTATTACATGTTTACTGCTTTAAAGTGCATTAAAACTCTTTCCAAAATTACGTACACAAAATGAAACCAGTTTATTCTCCATTATCTTGCTCTCTTTGTAAAACAAGATGTCACAGCGAGACGCAGGATTATCATTTAAAGTTGCAACTGCACGCCGTGACAAAGTGGAAAACCTGCCTTCTCCAGATTGTTTATTAACTCGTACTTTTTAAATGCTTTTATTTATTTTGTTTTAATATTTAACAGATACGGATACAAACAATGCACCTGTCTGTTTTGATCATACGCCGCACAGCATCGATGTTTTTGTCGTTCTCAGCAGTGGACGGGCGACCATCACGAAATTCGTCACTGAGATTCACACGACCGCGTATGAATTATGCAAACCAGCTATAAATAGTCGTCTTGCATGGTGCTTCATCACCAAAAGCAGTTTGAAGCCGAGCGAAGCTCCACTGAGATGTTAAATTACACTTAAAGTCGTAGAAAATCATACTACGAAAATTTTCACGAGTTAAATCCATGGTAATGTAGACAACCAATTTCTAAAATGACGCCACAATGTAAAAACAAGTGACAGTCAGACGAAACAAACTGTATTCTACAGCCAAAGAGTTCCATTTTCAAATGTTGTAATTACTTTCAAATTTTGTTTATATAAGTGGCCAGTTCCGGAAACTTCCAGTGCGCCCTATGTAGAAGACCAATATTAGAATTTTTTTTCCTTCAACCTATCTAGAAAATTTCATCGTTGGCAAAGTTTCGCCTATGTCTGGCTAAGTTTATTCTTTGGCGTAAGCAACTGCCAGGTTGTCAGCTACTTCTGCCCACTGGAGGCTTCAACGGAGCAAAACAAAAACCTCAAAGCTACGCTTGCAAAATATTATAAAATAAATACTTGTTTGCTTTATTTGTGTGCGTCTGCAGACTGGCGGAGAACATTCTTACTATTCATGTGTGATCATTACAGTAATACTAAACATATGAAAGAGAAATAAAATAAAATAAAAATTCTTTCCCGACAAAAAAATCATCAGCGATGAAAATCAGTAACCGTCCCGTACAACAAACAAGGGCACGTAAAGGGCTTGTTTAGCAAATAGCCGACGGTCATTGATCAACGCTCGGTTCTATTTATTCGGTTCCGTGTGTCCGGTGATCGATGTTAAGCCCTGGCCCACAATAGGATTAAACGAGAATATTTACCAGTTCTACTTAACTATTATTATATAGTATTAGAAACTGGAACGGTCAATGTATAAAGTTTGGTGGACAAAGAGAGTGACTGAGTGGATACCAAGAACGTAAAGAAAGTAAAGAAGAAACAAGACGTACTTGGTACTTGGTACTTGGTGCAAGGGGCTGGTATCCGCAACTCGACGTCAAAAAAACAAGACGTAAAGGTCGGCCGAGGAAAAGATGGGAAGACAGTTTTATAGAGAAAGCAGGACCAAAATAGACGACGAAAGCCAGGGATAGGGAGTTATGGAAGACAATAGGGGAGGCCTGGCCGAGAGGCGGACTGCTACTGTTGCTAGCTAATAAGTGTATGCATGTATACATGTAAATATATGTAAAACTAACTTATAGTATATAAATGTAACTTATAGTATATAAATGTAGCTAATAACATGTAAATGTAACTAGTAATAATTGTAAATGTCAAGTAACACTAGTAGTAATAAAGGCTTTTTTTTATGGTATTAGAAAGCGAAACGGTCAATGTATAAAGTTTCAACTATATATACTTTCTCTATTTAATCCTATTTTGAAATTATAAGTATTATTATACAATGATAATGACATTGTTCAAGATCGAGTATTGCTTCACTGTTATAGATTGATGGTACCTCAAGGTACGTAATGTTAAATCGATATTGATTGATGAGCATGCATCACAATACCTAGGCAGATCGTAAATGACTCATCGAAGAGTTAAAACTTGATTGTCACTATTACAAGACAATTTGTGATATTTTCCACATAACAGTACGTTAAAATAGTTTTAATTTTGATACACGTAAGTATTAACATGTGTAGCCACACATTCAATTTCAACTTCTGCCGCTTTGTAGCTGGTATGGTGGAGGAAAAAAAGCATCCACTGTCGTAGCTAGATACAAAAAGAGAAAAAAGTAAGCCTTTTTCGTAACTGGTTATGGAAAGAACATTTGTAGATTTAGTAGATTTTTGTAGATTTCTACATCCGTTTTCGTAACTGGAGTTTTGAATATAGATTAAATACGAGTATCCCTTTTTAAATAACTGGTTACAAACAGTGAAGGAAAAATCTTCTTTCGTAACTATTTATGAAAAATAAAAAAACGTTTGGTCAATCTACGTAAATGTTAGTTATGAAAAATATTTACGTAGATTGACCAAAAGCTTTTTTTTTTATTTACCGGCTTTACCTCTATGTCATCATACAACAGGTATATCGATGTATACTTAACCACTGGATAAGTTATACAACCTGTCATCGATTAAACTGCAAAAATAGGATTTTGATTGATTCATTTGTTCATATGAATGACGTAAAAATTTTTTGTTAAACAATTTTGAATTATATCTTGTATTTAATTAAATATATCATACTAACTATTCAAACAACTTCGTTAGTTTTTAAAATTTTTCGTTTCTCATTTTTTAAAATATAAATTTCAGAACTTAATGCAGTGTAAAATGGGTCAACGCACACTCTAGTACATAGACTTAAGTGTGGCGTGAGTCAGGGTCGACTTACCTCGCCGGACCTTTTTAATCTTTGTCAATGATATAATTGAGGAAATAGTAGCGGTATTCGAACAAAAGTGTTAGAGCTTGGTGTGCTGTTGACAGTACAACACCAAAGAGACGGTTGGATGTCACTGTATAGTGAGGAATAGGTGCCAGTGGTAGTGACGCGCTCACCCGCCTCCTTGCCGCCCTTGACGCAGATACCAAAGCCGTGCGAGTCGGCGGGGTCGCGGCTCATGGTGACGATGCGGGTGGCTGGTTCCGACGGCGGGCCCGGCGCGCCGCCAGATGAGTACGGCCGGTCCCGCTCGCCCGCGCCGCCACGGTATACCGCCTGGTCAGTATCATAAAATACATAATATCAGTAAATAGCATATAATTCAAAATAAAATACTTAGTACTACTGCACTACTAGTAGTATTTGAACTAAGACTACAAGTTGAATGAATATGAATCCAAGTACTGAACAACAAACTACACCATTTCATTTCTATTTAGATAATGATAATATCTAAATTAACACAAATTACATCGTTTCTAGCCAGAGAATTCCATGTAGCAAGAGTCGCATAGTAACGTAATTAACTTCCACAGAACACACAAACCAGGTCCAGACTAGAAAAATATGTTTTCTAAATTTGTTCAGCCCCCGTAGCATGGCTACGCATGATAGTCGCGACGCGCGCGATAAAATTGAAATAAGCGCGCGCTATTGGCTATCTAAATTAGATCTGATTGAGACAGCCAATGGCACACGCTTATTCCAATTTTATCGCGCGCGTCGCGACTATCATGCGTAGCCATGCAACGGGGGCTGGATGGCATAAAATATGTTCGTAAGAAGGTGGGTGGGTCTATATTACACTAAAAGGCACTGATTCTATGGGTTTATTGTCTAAATTGCATTGTTAATTTTACAATGAAGAGCTTAAATAAAATACACGTATAGTTGCAGGGACGAACGAACAGAGAATGAATATTTTTTAGAAAGGAATGTAAATGACAGAACAATAAATAAAATTGATCAACCGTAAATTATATCCGGAAAATCCTCTTTCATCGCCAATTGGTTAATTGACAATGACAATTATTATTGATACAAATATCTGACAACACAAAGAAAAATTCCATGTACCATGCCGGGACCACCGCTCTTAGCCAAATGAACTACAGGCACTACAGACATTTGAGAACACATAATAATACCAAAATTCACAAAATATATATGGTAGTAAAACATCATGATATTCAATAAGTAAATAAGGTGATGGCACCAGTGACCGACAAGTACCACTGTGCCCCAGCTTTTTTAAATTCATTTCTAATAAGATTTAGGACAAAATTTCTATCATAGTAACACATTCGTTATTTGTAAGTGTCAGTTATGGCTGTTCATTATTGGTGTGTATCGATTACTGGTTGGTAATTGATAGTAATTAGTGGATTTTTGGTGTTCATTACTGGAGATTTAGAAAAATTCTTGTTAAGTAAAAATTATAATAGCTTTTCTATGAAACATGCTACAGCATAATCTTTCTTGAGGATGTATATATATCTGTCAAGTAAACTAATCACTATTGATATGTGTTTAAAAACAAAAAGTTGTTTCAAATTTAAACACAGATTTAAATTTTCAAATAAGACACACTTCCCTTAAAATCTCAATCATTGGTACCATCAGCCTATGACAATGACAATGTTTTCAAACGTATATTTGCTATACTTTCCAAGGATTCATAAAGTACATATGCATAAATTATTAGTAAAACGGTGTTAAAACATTTATTCGGTTTTGTAAATTCAAGACATGCTTTTTTATTCCTGTACAATTGTGTTTATAGGTGTGGATATCAGTTACTGTCACTTCATCGTCGATATGCAAGTAATTTTCAGCAAATAGTCATATGTGTTACACCATGTCTCAACACCACGCCAAATTGGCACTTATAATGTAAGGACTTTTGGTAAATCATGCTGACTAAGGCGGATGCCGCCCCCGCGTGGTTTTATTTTGTATCCATTTTTTTTCTCTTTTCCCTTATTTTCATTTTCAATGTTTCAAGTTTTTATAGAGTCATTCCCGCTTTACATTGACCCAAAATGCCGCTTTATAATTATTTTAATCCCATTCTGTCATACACGTAACGTCAGTTACAAAAACCAATATCTACCTCAAAAATATACAGGGTGAGTCTTGAATCTCGGCTACCTCCATTTTGCTTCAGATTAAACAACAAAACAATCGAAATCAATTTCTCAAAGAGTGTACAGAACTGTTTCCGTGACATCGCTAACACTCACCGCGTTCTTAGGCAATAAACACGACTCTAGAGAGCAAACAATGCCTCTCGAAGAACGTTTAGCATCTCAAAGTCGATGTACGCCTCGCAGTTTGTTCAGCCTCCACCCCTCGCACCCCGTACTCCGCCCACTGCATCGTATTCAAATATCTTTCATTTGCTTTTGAAATCTGTGCTCTGTTCTATTGCAGGTTCAGACAATTGTTACTACTACAAAAATATATCTTTCGCAGTTGTATATAGATTTTATCAAAGTAAAATGTAATCAGTCGCTTGTACTAGATATACTTTAATAGTATTTTGAATGGATCTTATAGCGAATAATGTGATTATTTTTATTTATACATAATACTTAATTATCCATTTATAAACGAGAATATATACATATATTGGTTTCATTCCGTATTTCTTTTTTATTTTCAAATCGTGGTTCCTCAATTCCACAATTTTGAGTTACTACATTATTTGATTTCGTGTGCAACATATTCACGATTATATTATATACTTCGGTCGCTCCCTTTTTCTGCAGCAATATCTTTATTGATACATAGGGGGCACTATAAGTTTCCGGAACTGGCCACTTACATAAACAATATTTAAAAAGTAATTACAACATTTGAAAATGGAACTCTTTGGCTGTAGAATACAGTTTGTGTCATCTGACTGTCACTGGTTTTTACATTGTGGCGTCATTTTAGAAATTGGCTGTCTACATCACCATGGATTTAACTCGTGAAAATTTTCGTAGTATGTTTTTCTACGACTTTAAGCGTAATTTAACAGCTCTGCGGAGCTTCGCTCGGCTTCAAACTGCTTTTGGCGATAAAGCACCATGCAAGACGACTATTTATAGCTGGTTTGCAGAAATCAAATACGGTCGTGTGAATCTCAGTGATGAATTCCGTGATAGTCGCCCGTTCACTGCTGTGAACAACAAAAACATAGACGCTGTGCGCTGTATAATCAAAACAGACAGGCATGTGACATACCATGAGATTTGGACATCTTTAGGCATAGGCATGAGTCAAATACAATCAATACTACACCGATAGTTTAATACTACACAAACATTTGTGTGTGAAAAAGCTGTGCTCTCGGTGGATACCACACAATTTGGCCGAGGCTCAAAAAACGGATCGCGTCACTTGGTGTAATGCCATGCTTACCAGATTCAACGAAGGGGCGTCAAATTTGGTGTGGGACATACTATGACTCAGGTGACGAAATATGGATTTATAGTTACGATCCCAAAACAAAGCAGCAATCGTGTGTATGGATCTTTCGAGATGAGCCGAGACCAACCAAAGTGGCGCGCGTGCAAAGTACCTCTAAGTGGATGATTGCTTCTTTTTTTTAATAAAACTGAACACGTGGCTACTGTTGTCTTGGAGAATCGTTGTACCGTGAATAGTGATTGGTACACGACCATTTGTTTGTTGGAAGTTATTAACATATTCCGTAAAAATAACTGTAAACGCCGTATCACCACGATAATGACAGTTCGCACACGGCCACACAGACAAACGAATTTTTGAAGGTGAACAACGTTGACGTTATGAGCCATCCCGTATACAGTCCCGACCTGGTACCTTGTGATTTTTATTTATTCCCAATAATTACGAACTAGTTACGCGATGAAAAATATGTTTCAGAGATTATCACGGATCAGTGGCATAAATGTTTTCAAAATTGGTTCATTCGTATGAAAAGGTGCGTTAACGCTAATGGAGAATATTTTGAGAAACAATAAATTTATTTCTGACCATTTATAATATTTTTTTCTTATTCATTCCGGAAACTTATAGTGCGCCCCACGTATTGGAATTATTTCCAAGTTTTGGAAATGAAAACATAACATTACATTTACCAATTTTGTAAAAAAATTGTCTCTGGTTGCCTGCATCTTAGTCGTTCTTGTTTATAAGAAACAATTAATCCAAGATAATGATAAATTTAATTTAATTTAATTTAATTAATTTAAAAACATATCTTTGTCGCTCGTACTAATGACGTATTCGGGCTGGTCGCTCGTGGAGATTTATCGAATCAAATGTTCCCCTTTTACGTCAGCCGGGGCTTTGTAAATTGAAACAAATCGATAAGATCAAAGCTGGCAGCTATTTTTAGCCTTTTTATGTTATAAAGTAATATGTTTCAATAATAAATTCGTTACATTAAACTTCGTTTTAGCTGCACCCAACAGTGGGAAATGTTTAAGTTGATGTTATTCGATAATGAATTATTTCATGGGATTAACTATTAGTTAAGCGACTGGTAAAAATTATTAACAAGATTTTTTTTAGAATTACCGTCTTTTTCCACAACTTGCAGCCTCCATTAAATTAAATAGTGAATGATTTACGATCCACTTTTATTAAAAACAAGACGTCTCTACTTCCATAGAAATATGAAACTCGATCAATCAACCCTAAGTAAGGAACAGGCAAATTATATACAAAGAGTAACAAAACACGTTTTTCAGAACAACCTAAACGAATAAAGACGTAGAGACAATGGTAGTGGTGGTGGTGCCGATATAATTTCAGTACGTATATGTAATAGAACATATAAAAGCAAAAAAAAATTCAATTACCCAACCGTATAATGACGCAATGTGCTGGACTATGAACTAAACCTTCCTAATAGAATAGACTCGTGCTCAACCGTTGCTTATATATGGATTGAAGCAAATATGGAAATCGATAGACGCAGCAGAGACAAAACAAAATATTTAAATGTACCTAACATTTTACTTCCATTTTGTTTCAGTTGTCGAATGTTGTTTCTTATGTAGGTAGTTTATGAATTTTGTGGCATAATTATACATAACTAGTATACCAATGCTCATTCAAACGTTAACCACTATCCTTTCGGGCAAATCAGTTTTAGTCTAAGTCTTAAATAAATCTCATTAAAAGTTTCACTAATATTTTTTCTTTCCAAAAAATGTTACCTTCTCGCTTATTCGGCGACTAAGTCAATTCAATGTAGTTATTCAGCTGACCTTCGAGTATTATGTGACCTGAGCCACGTATGGTGGTAATACATTTTTAGTTATCCATTTTTGCCTCACTAGAATTGGCTAAGGAGTGCAATTCTCTGCTTTCAAATTTATTCCCTGAACGCTATAACTTGGGCATTTTCAAAGTTAGGGTGAATACTTGAATAGGCATTAGGTCTGCATTCTTCATCGTCGACCTCATCGTCACTTTCCATCAGGTGAGATGGAGATTAAATGCACACTTATTTTTTATTAAAAAAAATACTGTACCATGAAATGAGTTTTTATTTGAAGTTACAAAAATTGTACATTTTGGTGAATAAATGTTGTTCAAAATTCAGATCAATAGTTCGCGAGTCAACAAGTGTTTGCAGTAATCTGTCAGCGCCTATGGTGAACTGAGAGCCAAACATTGCATGCGAAATGATTAACAACTTACCATAATTAACAACTTCCCCCAGTGTCGATGTTAATAGCCATATAGTCGATTGTACAGTTATTTGGCAACACTTAAAACCATGAAATCGATCGACTTAATTTAATAATTGAAAATGTTCAAGAATTTTTTTTTTAAGTATGTGTGTAAACTTGATTAATTCCAAAGAAAGTCAGGGAGATATTGCAGTCATTTAAAATTTAGTGGTGAATAGTGAAAATAAACTATATCAAGAAAATATCAAATGAAATTTTAAAGAAGTTTAGGGAAGAGGGTAATGTTTTAAGGGTAAATTAAAACAGAAGGGTAAAAATGTTTGGACATCTGTTACGTAGTGGCGATTTATAAAAGTTATAACTGAGGTAAAGATAGAAGTAGAACGAAAGGGTGGAAGGCGAAAAATAACGTACAGTAAACAAGTAAAAAAGAACGTCAAAGTGAGCTTCTACAAAGACGTCAAGGAGATGGTTAGAGAACCATGAAGAATAGAGGAGGCTACACCGACAAGAGCCTGGATATTAAATAGGAAGTTGATATGAGACTACGATTTTACGGTTATTTCAAATGTCCTTAATATCGGCAAGGTTACTAAAGTTATTAGGTAACGTCTTTAACTCTCACAATATAAACCACCACTCCACTATTCAATTATATAGATAGATTCATGCTACCTACAAAATTGAACCATACATTGAATAGCTATAATATAAAGTGATTTAAAAATTAATACAGTCTTAGATTTTAATAAAGAATGAACGTGTCGCGTTTAAATTGTTATTACCTCATTCTCGTTGGAATCCAATTTGAAACCGGAACGCGACTGTCTGTTTCACAAAACTTGATAACACCCAAACACATCACGCAATTTTGTACACCCTTTCAAAACATTATGTTATGTATAAACTGAGTACTGTTACACATTGCCTAAAAATCGAAAAATATATTTCAGCTGCGTCTCTTGCACGAAATTCGATTTTCTACACAATGCTTGTGGTGACTTGATTTGAATTAATCCGCAGAAACTGTAAAATCGAAAATACTTGCGTCACTACGAAAAATAGTGGTACAACTTGATATAGGTCAAACTCGACAACACGTAGCGTAAGCGAAAATCCTTTTTGTAACTGGTTAAAAATTTAAATTCATATGGAAAATAACATATTGTACGTGGCATATGCCTCCAATATCAACCATCGACTGGCGGTGACGATGACGTCTATGTCCATGTCTGACCATGGCCTGATGGGCTTGGCGTGGACACGCCTACAATTTTTAATAGATGGAATACATTGTTACGATTGTACGTGTCTTTCTCTATATCTTACCATATAAATTAAAATTTTCTACTTAGGTAATAAAAATTCTTAGAATCATCGTTGAAACTTTTTTTGAACAGACGGTTAATTAGACAATTATTTGATGAATTCTAGTCATGTCCATCTTGTAACTTACTAAACGGCGACCGGGGTCATGAATAAGGTAACATTATCGACTGGTGCGGCCTCGCATGGAATTATTTACACATACCAGACCGTCGCCGACCAGTACACCGCACTGGTTATTTTTGGAGCGTACAGGTATAAACAATTGAGTTCACCTCGTGTCATTCTCAAGCGCTAAGGTTTTATCGATTTTGTTAAAGTTTTTAAATATCATTGCCGTCTACATCAATATTGCGTAGGTACTCTTGCAAGCGTTATTTATTACGCCAGTAAATTGTATATTACGCGATTACTCCGATATTTATGAACCAATTTCGATGATTCTTTTTTGTTGGAAATGGGGTACCTCTTAGTAGTCCCATTCAAATTTTAAGAAAATATTTCACCTCTAAGTTATGTAAGTTGCGCTATATTATGATGAGATTGCATAATACAATAAAACACCATTCACTTTTTCCTAAAAAGGTGAACGCAACGTGACATTTTACGTAGATCGAGGGATTCACGTTGTGTCCCTGGCGACTGCGCTCTACTGCGTAAACGTTAAGTTAGAACCTTGGAATTGATATGTAGGACGTGAGAGAAAAATCTTACCAGGATTGCTACTTGTGGGACTCTTATCAGAATAAGAAATTTTCTGTGTGTATGTAGCAATATAAATTATAATGACTTTAAAATATCTATACGAGATCATAATGAATGAGGCATAGCATCAAATTCCTTAAACCTTAAATGTTTAGTAGTGCTTTAAAATGGTCTGCAATAAATATAGGAAGCCATCCAAAGATTTGTTCTGATTAAGGTAATAATGAGGTCCATCACTCACATGATGCGTGGTACTACTGGGGCTGCTGGCAGGTGAGTGCCTCCTCGCGGGTAGCGGGGCAGGAAGTGGCGCGGGAGGGTGAGAAGGCGGCAGAGCCTTGCCCAACGCCGCCGCGCCGCCCTGGCCGAACAGCCGCAGAACTTGCTCAGGCGAAATTGCTCGTTTCTTGCCGTTCGACGCGCTCAGGTGGTTCGTGCTATTTCGCAAGCTTGTTGCTCCTGCTGCGATTGAATTCCTTTATTTTAACACCCATTTACTGTATAGAGCCTATACACATAGATAATTATGAACAGTCTAAAGTGTAAAAGTATTGCCTGCGTAGCCGAACGGTTACCATACCGGACTGCCACGCAAAGATCCCAGATTCGATTCCTGGGTCGGGAGAAAAATTTGTATGGCCTATATTTATTTCTCTCGTGAGTTTGGGTGTAATTTGTGGTTGTCTATTTGTGTGTCCATGGCACCCGCGACACAGGGTTTCCCTAGTGCGTGGTTATATTGAATGTGCGCGTTATTACTATTATTTGTAACATACTGACACATACATCTACTTGTCTTCTGCTGCACAAAAAATGTGTACATAACTAATTACAATCGGAGAACGATACACTAAAGCTAGCCATGAAACAATTTTGATTAAAAACAAATATTGTGTTCACCTGTGCTATTAGGAATAGTGGAAGAACCAAGGTAAGGAGCACGGGAAAGCTTCCCAGCGTAGTGATATTGGGAGTATGAAGTGTGGTGGCCATGGGACGAGGCAGGCCGCTCCACGATGGTATAGGAGGTGCCCGGGGGTGAGTAGTACACCCCTCCACGCGCTCGAGACCGCGCGTCTTCCGCCTCGTAGCTCGTGTGCCGGTTGTCCTGCAACCACTGCGTACATCGAACATAACCTTTCACATCTTGTCAATACGGACAAGAAGGCGTAATTGTAAAATTATAGTAAGCTTTACAACATATTAAGACAATTTAAGCTTACATTTAAATACTGACTATACAATATTATACAGGTAAAACTGATAAAAAATAAGATTTGAAGTTGTGAAATTTCATGTTATTTAATTTATTACTTTTAACTTTATTTAATTAAGATAATATAAAAAGAAATATGCAGTTTCTACACATAAAACTACTTAACTGATAAGGAATTTACTCCCCAATTCAAACTAAACTATTTAACTTGGACACGTTGTATAGTGCGTAGTCGAATTTGCGAGCTGTCATATATTTGTATATTATGTATAATAGTGCTATAAAAATTACTCTTGCTATTTTCTCGTCCGATGAAAAGACATCTCTCACACTAAAAAAATTATACTCAGTCACAATGGTAAAGGCAAATAGAATAGTAAGTAATTTATATGTTGGAGTCTTACGTAGTTAAGCTTATTTTCAAATTAGGCGAGATCAAAGTTACACGAATAGCTAGTTACCCGACTACTTTGTTTTAGTTTTGTATACTACAAGCCGGGTACTCATTAGCGGGCTGTAATTGTAACGTGACAGTTATAGTAGATACAGATACGAGGTTTAAGGGTGTACGCGTGAAACAGTCTTAAATGAGTACCCAGTTATCGTCGACTCACTGCGAACCGCACGCTCTTCTGCTTGCGAGTCACGTACACTCTGTGATTGTTAATAATATAACATGCAACGTACGGTTACGGCTTGAGCTCGCCAGTGAGTACCCGGCTCTACAGTTATGAAGCTAAGAAGTATTACGTACCTGCTGCGAGCGCGAGTGGCGTGCTAGATGGTGCGCGGGCGGGTGCTGGGGCGTGGCGGAACGCGCCCAGCCGTAGCCCTGCGTCTGCGCATAGGGCGGCGGCCAGCGCGCGCCAAACTCCGCCAACTCCGAGCCCTCGCCCGCCTCCCCCGACCTCATGCCGGGGGTCACCTTTTCCTCTATAACAATAGAAAAATAATTTTAGTAACATAACACAATTGTAAGGAACAGTTGATCGTATCAAAGAGAATTTAAGCACTACGTTTAGATCGTATGTGATTTGATTCTTTATTTTTTTCCATCCTCTAAGGATTTGACACAGTATGAGCCATATATAGGATAAAAGTATGAACAGCAAGAACACAAATTTTTGTACAAAAAGAAAAAAAATATCACGTCAAATCGACAGTATAAGATTTATTAAGATAATTATAAGATAATAAGATAGATTAAGAAGACAGTATTTAAGTATGTGAAATTCTCAGAATTATTACAACTAATCAAAATCTCATTATTTACACACATATGCTGCTCTTCTTTCGTCTTTTTCTAGTTGGCGTAATCTCTACAACTACAACAACAATAACATTAACTCAGGCGAGGGTTTAGGCCATAATCCGCCACCCTGACCCAATGCGGGTTGGGGACTTCACACGTTTTCCGAAGGTTGTAAACCTTCTTTGTCGTGTAGGTCACGTATTCATCACGATGTTTTTCTTCACCAAAAAATTATGATAAATATCAAATTAAATTTCGCACATAAATTCCGAAACTTCAGAGGTGCCCGGATTCGTACCCACGACCGTTGCTTGAAAGGCGGTAGATCAAACCATTAAGCTACCAAGGCAGATTAAATTCATGTGACTCTGGTCACCAAATAAATTACTTAAAAACAATGTAGTCACCCTTGGTGGGGGTGGAGAGCTAAAAGGTCGTGGTGGATGGAAACTGAGTGTGTTAGGACGTGGTAGAGTGAGCAATGTAAGTGTACTGTGTAGGTGAAGATAGGAGAAACTCGAAGCTGGGTACACGAAGTTGCGGGCCTTCGCTCTCAAAAGTTGGAGACCGAGGGCGGAGCCAGAGCCCAGAGCCGGAGCGCAGCGGGTTCGGCGCGGAGGCGGTGAGTGGAGAGGCTGCACCGACAGCGGCGATAGTGCAGCAGTGGATTTTATCACTTAGTACTGCGAGGTGGAGTTCTATTTCAACTAGCTTGGTGAAGGTGAGGTACACAGTCCAGGTAGGAGGAGCATAAACGTAAAGACCAGGTTTAGAGTGAGGCAGTCGAGGAACTTGTCATCAGACAGGCGCGTAAACACGGTACGAGTAAGGCCAGGTGTAAGGCTTCGAAAAGGTGAGACTTCGTGTATTTACTAGGTGGTGAAGACCAGATGCCTCCAAGGGCAGTACAAGAATGACCAGCGATTGGTAGAACGAGAGAGAGAGTATCGAAATTCGAATCGCCAATATTGAATTTGAAATGAAGAGCCAAAATGAGAGCAGCCAGGAGCGGAAACACTTCTACTGCTAAGATTGAATATCAAAGGAAAAGTTTATAGGATAATATATGGAAGAATAGATTGTAGAGGGGTAACAACACATAAAAATATTAAATACGAAATAAAAATATTTATAAAGTAAAATTGATGAAATAGTACGTAATTAGCAGTGGAAAAATGAATAGCAAAATTCGGAGGTACTATCAGTACGATAGAATATGCCAAGGTCGGGAGATCAGACAAGAAAAGTGAGTAAATTGTCAAAGTGCGTGATATTTCACACTATTGTAAGCAATAGCTTACAATAGCTTATAAAGCAAATTTAAGTCATTTAAACATTAATATTTTAGTAAATATTATTGAGAACTCTGTCAGGAATCAGGAAAAGTATGATTGTTTACTAGAAAACGCATAATGAAAGATGAAAATGAAAGGGGTCCGTACTTTCACACTACATCATAACCATGGTACATGTGTAGAGCGCCAAAAATTGGTTTGAAAAAGAATAGAAAAACAAATATACGTGATTTACATCCGAAAGAACAGTTTATTTTCCAACGTCTAAGTAACGATCGCGAGAAGCTCAGAACTCAATTGGCAACGTAGAATATCGCTCTGAACCTACTAATCTACATTACTAATGAGTTAAGTATGCAAGTACTAGTAACAATAACAGCGGTTTCTTTCCTCATTTCACGATCGAGGCTAAGCCGGCGCACCCATAAATCTAGCCGCGCCCAGGTGCTCAACTTGGCCTTCTAAATTGCTTACTCGCTGGAAGCTTCTCAAATAGCGAATAATGTCCGCTACATCTACTTTTATACATGATGCAAATATACAACAAACAGTACGAAGTTCATACCTATTGCTATTTGTGTATTTCCATCACGTGTAACGATTGCATAAAGTTCTACTAACTTGTAAAAGTCATTAAAGAAGCGACCGTAATACGTGAGTTCGTCGCCAAATATAGACCTTTGCCAACTTATAATGAAGAGATTGAATCATCGCTGCTGCTTCGTTAATATTCAGGTGTTAACTATAAGACTATGATATGGTAATGAAACTAATTTAAATAACATCAGATTACGAAAATTTATTCTAAAAAATGCTAAACTTGAATATATCAGTCTGCCTTTATTATAAATAAATTCGTAGCATATTTTTATAGACTTATTGATATAAAAAAAAGTCGACAGGTGTAACTCCAGTGCAACAGGCTTAATTCAATTCATGTATTGGCCTTGTTACAAAGTAACAATTACTTTTCAATATGAAATATTTTGACTTCAAAATATTTTAAAATTAGAAGTAATTTAATTAATTAATCTTGATTGATTTTCATATAATGATTTTAGTAATAAGGTGTTTTCAGTTACTTTCGTTTTTTGAATTTTCGTTTTTTTAAATGAAAAATACCTTGTTATCATAATTATATTAAATAAATGTTAATCAATATGAATTATTTGAAAATACGCCAATTAAAAATGTTGTCATTTCAAAAACCTCAAGTAATATAAAAACAATCATCAACATTGGTATAATTCCCATGGTCACGGCTGACTGATGCATTGGATATGTAAAGGGCCCGAAATGACGTTGGCTTGTTTGAAAAAACAAACGCCATTTACATCCGAACAAACAGTTTCATCTCCTAATCGCGAAAACCAAAGAACTTGATATATAGTAATTCTATTTAAATTTATATTGAATTAGGAAATGAAACTATTTTTCCGGGTTTAAATCGCGTATATTTGCTTTTTCAAACAAACCGACGTTTCGGGCCCTTTACAGGTCCCATGGCCACGGTTGACTGAGGTGGTACAGTCTTCAAACAGTTATGTCTAATATACTGTCAATCAATATTTATTTCCTTCAAATAAATATTGATTGATGAACCCTCTCATCAATCCACAAATTGGTAGTTGCGGACATTATTCGCTATTTAAGAAGTTTCCAGGGATTTAGCAGATGAAGTCGAAGCATAGATTCGGTAAAAAATTATCTACATTTAATTGTACGCTGAAGCACGAGTAGACCGCTTCAGCGCGTAATGCAGGTAGCGTCCGTGATGCGTAGGATGCGAAGCAGCGCCAGCGGCCTCCTTGATCGAGAGGGAAGATAGACCAATATTGTGTCAATGGGTAGCTGTTCATGTCAAGTGTTTTAAAACTGTTCTTAGTACGAAATGTAATTTACTGTTTGTGAGTTTCACTTATATAGTTTATAAGGATTACTTAACTAACACAATAATCTTTTGAAGTTTTCGATTAAACCACCCCCGGGTTCAGATGCTACAAAACCCTTATTCAGACTCCTTATATCAAGATTATAAAATATTTATTTACATTTCATATTTATTTATAGTCTTATTTTGTACATTCATTTTATTATATATTTTATATCTATTAGTGTATCAACATTTATTTAATGTACGAGTATATATGTATATTCGTATGTACATTTGATATAATAAATTTATCCTTGTCGTTGAGCATTCAATTTCATGATTTTTTAAATTTTATTGCCAACACAGGAGCCAACATTACTTTCAGTTTGGAAGAAATCCCTTTAGAGGATAAGCTGTTCTTTGTCACTAATGTTTTAGATTCTTTGCTAAAATTTGTAATTTCTTCTGTTGTACAATAAAGTGTTTACATACCTAAATATAATATGAATATTTGTTCAAAATAAAATAAATAAGTATTATTGTCTTATTAAAATACGAATACATCGCATGTGCTAAATTAATTGAGGGGATAGTAAAATTAATGTTCATTTTCAAAGTAGCTCTAAGCAACCGGAGGCAGCGTCCGATGCGCAAACCGACTCCCGGTGTAACATCTCCAGCCCTATTCCAGCTTGGAAATTGACATCCCTTGTTTACGACTGAGACCATTTGAATAAAATTCTTCTTGATAAGGCTTATTTCTTGTTTTGAACAAAAATGTTAGTAACTGTTACAGTACAAATTAAGTATTATGAAAACAAATTTTCAAATGAAATGGAAACTATCGACGAAAACCGTCAATGAATTCGGACACTTATAACTTTATAATAACCATAACAGTGCTGGTGGATTTACAAGCACATGAGACTTGTTATCTTGTCTCAAGGTGACGGGCGCAGATGCAGTGTCAGACCTTTGTGATTTAAAGCTCTTTAACCCTTAATGAAATAAAGATCTATTATTTGTCATCTCAATTTATTTGTTTTTGTAAGTAATTAATAAACTAGTTGCATCACTTTTTAACATATAATGATTAAATATTTACCACCTAAAGAAAACATGATGGACCCTTCTTTAATAATAATTACCATTGAAATGGCATCTACGAATTTCAATTACCAGTGAATATTTACATTGTAATATTTTGTAGATGGGGCATTGCGAGTCGCGTTTGTTTAAGGGTTAAGGTCTGAGTCGCACTGCAACTGTTACACACAAAAAAATACATCCCTTGTACTATAAGCACCAGAGTCAAGGAATTCATTTTGGGACACTTCTCAGAACATCCAGGCCAGAATCAATATAGAAAAGTTCATTTTCAATATTGAATTAACTGGGAATCGGATCTGGGACTGCCTCATCCAACGCCCAAAAGCAAACTTTGGGCCATGGAAATTGTCGAATACAAGCAAATATGCAAATTAATTTACGTTCCAATTAACCCCAACTTTCG